GATTCATGGTAATACATTCATCTGATTTCCACAGACATGTGCCTGAAAAAAGCTTATGTATTTCTATCATAGCCTTGGGAAAAGCTTGAATATAGTTTTTATAAGCATTCAGTGAAAATGCTTTTGTTTTAAAATGTGTTGCCTATTTTGATTAGAGGCACTTTTATGGCCAGTTGAACCCTTCACAACCTTAGTTTGAAAAGAACGAAGTATGCAAATTGAATCATCTTGGCTTTGTTTTGTTTCCCCAGGTCATTGCATTCTTTGGGTTGTTTAGTTACAAGGATGGTATTTGTTTTTGAGTTCCTGCATTACAGTGGGATGAAGTTATCCATAACGTGACTGCTATCTCAGACTGTCAGATGAGACTTGAAACCAAACCTTTTCATTCTGAATATATGGTGCAACCTTCTTGGACATACCCTATTCAGACTGTAGGGATATTTGGTGGATTGCTCTCACACAACAAAAAGCTTCCCACAGCTAATAAACTATGGTCACGTTGACTGTCATTTCTCTGCGATGACAAATCAAGCAGAGCAAGATTTAAAAGCGCATCATTCAGTGTTCTGCAAATACAAATAATCTGTGCATTTATGGAGATGAGCAAATGTTCTTGTGCTTTTAAGTGAAGGGCCAAGAATGAATTAGGGTCTGTAAGTTTAAATGACTATATTTGCCCATTTTTTCCAATCAGTGTATGAGTTTGATCAACACAATGAAAGCAAAGACAATGGTGGAATATTTGAAGATTTCTTGTGGCCCAAGTTTTCATGCACTGCGGTCCACCATCAAAGGCACTCTCATGACTGTGCAAATTGTAAATAGTAAAGCCAAGGGGAAATCAGAAGGAAAAAGTACAAGCTGTGAAAATTGAAGCGGCATCTGTGAGGGAGATTGTCAAAATAGGCAATATCTGTGATGTCCACATGTACAAAAGGAATGGGACTTGCACCCCAGTTAGGCTTCTACTATCTACCTTTTTTTTTTTTTTTTTGCCCCACTCCCCAACACTACTGATGATATGGTTAAATTTTTGCTGCCATTTAAAGAAATGATAAATGAAACAACTAGATTACTGTTATTTGACTTATATCTGACTATCAAAATCTGGATAGCTACTAGATGGCAGCAAAACGTTTTTTTTTGGCAGCCCTGGATTGGCAGGACTAATACTAGAGGGGAGTGGACATTTTCCGGGCCTTTCTTGTAGCTTGATTTAGGACTTTCCCCACAGCCAAGTTAAAGTGCTACCAACCAGTCCTTGAGCTGCAGAAAATTATACCATCATAGCATTTGCTGTTCCTTGGCAGTCCTTATCCTGCCAAAGACATGATGGCAACAAACAATGTGTCCTTATGCACAGCGCAGGATCAGCCAGCAGTTGCTCTTCTTAATCGGGGCTGGGGCTGGGGCTGGGGCTGGGGCTGGGGCTGGGGCTGGGGCTGGGGCTGGGGCTGGGGAAGGAGGTGAGTTTTGACAGATGGCTAAGCAATTTCTGTGATTTTGTGCAAGTACTTTGCACACGTGCATTCAAAAGAAATGGGTTCAACATTCTTTTTAACAGAGTAACTGATAGGCACCTTTTAAACAGGGGTTGGGTGCTATTCCAGAAAAGGCTAAACCTGTGTTCAGAAGCAGCCCAAACAACAGCCCAATAACAGTCTATCTCCTGCCTCACTGTACAGCCCCTGTTGCTACCACTGGTCAGCTGCTGTTCAGCCTGACCACCTGGGTACAGGGAGAGCCTGGTTTGAACTAATCCATCTACCCCAGCGCCCAAGTAGAATGTCCCTGGAGGAGGGTGCCCAGGAGCCCGAATGGAAGAGGCATGCTTGCACTAGCCAGAAGTGCCCAGTAGCTCCTAGGGTGGTCCCACTGCCAGGGCTCACCTGACAGTGCCCCAACACAATGGTCAGTAAAGATTGAGTCTGTGGGGGAGAAATGGAATAAGCGGAGAAAGCTCTATGTTAGCACCATTGCAGCTAAGGATGCTTTAAATCAGTGTTTTTCAACTTGGCAACTTCAAGGTGTGCGGTCCAGAGGAAGGCAGAAAAGGAAGTTATCAGGGTGTGGTGGTGCCACAGTTAGATGAAAGCGAGGAGAGGCTCTTACAGTAATGCCCACACGCTTCCATTTTCCCATTTGCTCACTTTGTGAAACTCTGGGAGGCAGAACAATACTTTAGAAAAGGAGCAAGAGATTTTACTATAAATAAAGGAGTCAAAGGGCCAAGGTGGATCAAGTTTCTTAAGAATGGCAGGGAGTTATCCATACATCAAGTAAAAAATTGCTGTAGGGGTTATTCTGGCAAACTCTTTGACCTTTTTGACTTCGTTTTCATATTTTGTTTATTAGGAAGAAATAGGAGAATGAGTTATCATAAGATCTGATGCTTGCTAAAACACACTGCCCAATCTTGTCATCTTAGAAAACTGTAGTAATATAAACAGATGATGCAACAGACAGATATTGCTCACTCACACACAACAGTTGCCAAGTGGTTCCTGGAAGAATTATGGCTAAAATATTTAGATTAAGAACTGGTGTTTTTAGTTAGAATAATCACATGGGACATCCCAACTAGGTGTGGCCCATACTTCCTATAGAAATCTAGAAACAGGATATCCCTCCCTCCCTCCCTTCAACAAACAATAAATTTGAAGGTTACTTATATTGAATAAAAGCTTTTGCTAGATAAAACCATCACTTGCATTGGATAAAACTGGTCCTTCGAGGTCTCAGCAGAGAAACTCCCTGCCCTGTGCTTTAATGGTAGTCATTTGAGCCAAGAGGTTAGGCAAGCTCTGCTGTTGATCTGGTTTTTCTGATTGGAACATATTGTTTATCTTGGGCATCATGGGTCATTGCTTATAACTGTTGTTTTAATCCTTGTATGCTGCCCAGAGTCACTTTTGTGAGATGGATTGAATGAATGAATGAATGAATGAATGAATGAATGAATGAATGAATGAATGAATGAATGAATGGAATGTTCATTCTGGTGGTGGTCCCTGTGTAGCATTCAAAAAAGTTTGTGCTCTTTTGCTAAGAAATGGCCCAGAATCGTAGAGAAACCTATTTTTGTAACCTATTAGGATCGCCAGATTATGATTTTTTTTCTTTTTTTTAATCTTCCATGCAAAAAAAGGATGGTTCTGTTTTGAGGAACCCCTCATTTAAGTTAAAGGAACTATATCTTTTTTTTTTTTATGGTCCAAAGCACTTCTTGAAGCATTACAACTCTAATAAGCATAAGCACTGTCTGAAAAGAAAGAATAGCGTTTATTCGAGGGGTTGTTTTTATTTTGAAATTCTCAGTCTGCCATTAATACAATTTGGGGAAGGAGGGAGGACAAGTCCCTTGTACTTTGGACTGTTCTTCAGACTTATAGGAACCAGTTGAGGAGAGCAGTGGATTCCGTCAACAGCAGGGAGCAGGATCCATTCTAATATGAAAGCCAGGGATGGGGTCATCAGGTTGACTTAGCAGCTAGTGGCTTGGTGCTTGGTGCTTTATGAAAGGAGAAGTCCATATTTTCATGAGAGTGCCACCGAACATTGAAGCCTCAGAAGTTTGGGGATGAAGGTGTGGGCAGAGTAATGCTAGGTATTTACAGTCAGGTCCAGAAATATTGGGACATCGACACAATTCTAACATCTTTGGCTCT